CTGCCCAGGGCCTGCCCCTGTGGCCTCTGTAGCAGGCCTGACCTTGGAGTGATGTACTCTGGAAATCCCCTTGTGTACTCCTTGCCTAGCCGTGGACTGAGAGAAGTTACAGCAGAGGGGCCCCAAGGCAGTAAAGAGGGGCAGTTGGCAGCACCCACCTTTCCTTCTGGAAACAGGATGTCTCTCTGGCCCCTTCCCAAGCCCCCTTGTGCTTCCCCATGCTCTCATCCAGACCAAGTATGCAGGGTTTTAGCCCCCTGTCTCTGGGCATGAGAATGGACAGCCCTCTGCACGCCTAGTCAGACCCATGAAGATCTTTCCTTCTTTCTGCCCTGCAGCACCTTACATACCTCCTTGTGCTTCTCATATCCCCACCTGAACTCAGTGCTGCCCTTGCTTCTTTTCTCTCCCTGCAGTGGATACGGGAACTGTTCTTGTCCTTCCTTCTATGACAGGCCTGGCCTATGCCATGGGCTCCAGAGGGCAGGTGGAGCATGAGGCCTAGATTGGCTGGTAAAGCAGCAGAGGCACAATCACCTCCCACCTGGTGCAGGAAGCAACGTCTCTCCATGGCATTGATTTCTGTGCTCCTCCTGTGTTCCTTGTTGTCCTCATCCTCTCCAACTCAGCTTTAATAGAAGTAGCTGGTGGAGAAGCCACTCTTCTCCCATTGCTGGTGGTTGGTTGCCTGAAATTCCTCCAGCCAATTCTAAGTGGTTTTCTGGAGAGTATAAGGAAAGAGCCCTAGAAGGTCAGGTGTGCTCAGCGTGTCATGATGTGACCTCACAGGGCCACATCATGTATTCCCAGTGTCTATTCTCAGTTCTGGAGTTGGAAATTCTCTTATTTATTTATTTCAGAATATTATGGGGGTACAAGCTTTTTTGGTTACATGAATTGCTTTGAGTACAGCAAAAGTGAAAGTTATAAATGTACAGTTTGAGTGAAAGTTATAAATGTGTCCCTCACCCGGATAGTGTGCATTGTGCCTATCAGGTATGAATTTATCCATCCTCTCCCCTCCTGTCCCCTCCCACATGCTTGTTTTCTATTGAGTTTTACTGCCAAATGGGCACATGGGTGCGGATCAATTAATTTCAGTTTAATTTTAGTACGTGTGGTCTCCAATTCCATCCAGGTTGTTGCCAAAGGTATTAGTTCAGTAGTACTCAATGGTATATGTATACCACATTTTATTAATCCACTCATGTATTGATGGGCACTTGGGTTGGTTCCCTATCTTTGTGATTGTGAATTGTGCTGCCATAAATCAAGTGCAGGTGTCTTTTTGGTAAAATGACTGTTTTTTTCCTTTGAGTAAATACCCAACGGTGGGATTGCTGAATGAAATGGTAATTCTTTTAGTTCTTTGAGGCATCTTCATATGATTTTCCATAGAGGTTGTACTCGTTTGCAGTGGAGTAGGAAATTCTTGAGTTTGTGCCCTACATGAGACTTTTGCTTCTGATTTTTGCCTCCCTTGTGATAGAGAGTAGGATTGTGCTAGGGTTATAGGATGGAAGGAGAAAAGCTTCATCCCTCATCAGCATCCTCATGAATCATAGGCTCTGACCCTGACTTCTCAGCTCTTGGCTTTGCTGAGAACTCAGAATCCTATAGATAAAGGCTGCAGCTCATTTCTCCGTCCCCAGTGCTTTGTCATGGGACTTTGGTCAGCAGTATGAGCCTGTGCTGGCCTTAAGCAGTTAGGAATCTGCAGGAACCATGGGATAAGCCTGACCCACCCTAAACCAGGATGTGTGCAGGCTAACCCCAGCTTCCCACCTGATGCTGCTGTGACCCCTCTGAGTCAATTCCCTTTAGTCCAGGCTTCCTAGCTCTGTGACTGTCTGCCCAACTGCAGGCATGGAGGATGTACCTGTCCCAAGACCTTCTTTGACCTTTGAGGATGCTTTAGGAGAATACCTGCTGAATGTTGGTGTAGGAGGCCTGAGTCTTGTGCCTCCCTTCTCTGGGGGACATTGAGGGGCTGGGCCCCCATACCTTCGGTACAGAATCACCGTTCAGAGGAGGGACACATCATGCTTCTTCCCACACTGGCTCTTCTGTATCCAAGCAGTGGACACATTGTGCTAAATGCTGGGGTCCAATCAGAGGAAGCGAGCCCTGCCACCATTTCCTCCTGTTTGATGGGATGGTGAGTGATCCTGGATTTCCTTAGGAACCAGAGTCATCCCACTGTCCCTCATGACACAAAGAAGCCTAGCACTTCCTGTCCTGCCTCGTGCTCTTGGCTCTCTGTGGTAGGTCAGTGGGGTGGGGTTGGGGGGGACTGCAGAGGTGCCACCTTCTGAGGGATATTAGATGGCCAAAACAGAGGTCTGTCCCTTTCACTCTGGGCAGTCTTTTTGGTTTCTTGCTTTCCAGTCCCACCCCCAGTGCCTCCCTGGTCCCTTACTGAGCCCTAGGATGCTGCCCCTGCCATTTCTCTCCAGAGCCATGCTCTTGCTCAGGCTCTGAGCATTTAGAGGTTTCTCTGTGATCTCTCCTGCTGCTCCAGTGTCCCAGGAGCTTCACACACATCACTAGCAACTTCAGTCACCTTTTCCTTTTCACCTGGACTCTCCCAGGATTTTCACAGCCCACCAACTCCTTAGGCCCTATGAGAAACTTTCCGTGGTTCCTTGCAAGATCCCTGTCTACCTCTAGCTTTCTGGATTTGGTTCTTCACATTAATTCCTTTTCTTACAGCCATGGTCCCTTCCTATTTCCCCACTCATTCTTCTGGGTCTTTGCCCACACTCTTAGGTGTGGAGGAAACCTTTCTTAATTCACAAAGTCCTCCTTTATTAATGCTATCTTCTCTCTACCACTAACAAGTGTCTGTGCTTTTAGCCAACAGCGGCCCCTCCGCCTGACCCTTGCTTCCCCCCTCACTTCTGCACCACATCATTGCTCCAGCAGGTCTCCCTGCATCATCAATTCATTCCTTTCAATTGGATCTTTTCATCAACATCCAACATGCTATGTCTCCAATCTTTAAAGAAAACAAACCCTGTTGGTGCAATTGCCTCATATTTCTGCACCTTTATTTGAATAAAACTTCTTGGGGGAGTTTATTACACAAGTTATGGGCAATTGCTTTCTTTGCTTTCTCTCTTGAATCCACTCTAGTCACAACATCTCTATGACTCACCAGAGGCTGTTTTTTTTTTTGAGACAGAGTCTCACTCAGTCACTGTAGGGTTAAGTGTTGTGGAGTCATAGCTCACAGCAACCTGAAACTCTTAGGCTCAAGTGATTCTCTTGCCTCAGCTTCCCAAGTGGCTGAGATTATAGGCGTCTGCCCCAACACCCGGTTACTTTTAGAGATGGTGTCTCACTCTTGCTCAGGTTGGTCTCTGAGCTCAAGCAATCTGCCAACCTCCCTCCATCCCCCACCGAGTGCTGGGATTACAGTTGTAAGCCATGCCTGGCCTTCAGAGGCTATTCTTCTTAAGGTCATGAATGATCTCTATGTTGCCAAATCTAATGCTCCTTATCTTCCTTGGCCAATTGACAACTTCTCACACAGTAGACCACTCTCTGACATTTCTCTCTTGTTGAAGTATTCCACAATCTTCTGGTTTTCCTTGTGTTTCACTGGATGTTGCTTCTCAGTGTTTTCTCTTTACTGCTTCCTGCTTTATTTTTTCAATTTCTTTCTTTCTTTTTCTCTCTTTTTTTTGGAACAGAGCCTCAAGCTGTTGCCCTGGGTAGAGTGCCATGGCATCACGGCTCACAGCAACCTCCAACTCCTGGGCTCAAGCGAGTCTCCTGCCTCCACCTCCCAAGTAGCTGGGACTATAGGCCCCTGCTACAACGCCTGGCTATTTTTTGGTTGCAGCTGTCATTGTTGTTTGGCGGGCCCGGGCTGGATTCAAACCTGCCAGCTCAGGTGTATATGGCTGGCGCCTTAGCCGCTTGAGCCATAGGCACTGAGCCACTTTTTCTTTTGAGACGGAATCTCACTATGTTGCCCTGGGTAGAGTGCTATGGCATCACGGCTCACAGCAACCTCCAACTCTTGGGCTTAAGCGATTCTCTTGCCTCCGCCTCCCAAGTAGCTGGGACTATAGGCCCCTGCCACAATGCCTGGCTGTATTTTTCAGTTTCTTACCATTGAAATATCTCAGGTTCAGTCGTTAGATCCCTCCATTTATACTTAGTTATTCAGTGATCTTATCTAGTCATCTATATCTATTTATCTACTTATCTGTCTACCTATCAACCTACCTGTCATCTTCTTGGGGGAGATGGGACTCCTTCTTCAGGGAGGTAGTACTCTCCCTGAAGCCCATCAGACTTCTGTGTTGAGGATAGATATTTGGGCCTAAGATCTCAGGATGAAATGGATCAAAAATATTATTTCAGGTTAATGTGAGGGTATAGACGACCAAATCACAATATTTGAATTTGTTAGGTAAAGTCCCTCTTAGGTAAAGTCCTGTACCCAAAGGTATGACATACACTCCTACTTTGTGCCCATTCAGTGAGAGTACCCCAAACCTCCCTCCCCTCTCCTCCCACTCTATTTTCCCCCTCCCCCAACTTGAATTGAAATGAGTTTTTCTCCTATGTGGGTGTGAATTAGATTGTCTGTTGGCTTTATACTAGTATTGAGAACATTGGATATTTGCTTTTCTATTCTTGTGATACTTTTCTGAGAAGAATGTGTTTCAGCTCTATCCAGGTTAATAAAAAAGATGTGTAGTCACCATTTTTTCTGCTCAAGTTCCTTTATCAACTATGCAGGTGAGGCTGGGAGAAGCTGTGTGGAATGGCAACCCACCTGAAGTGTGAGTTAAAGCTCCTTCCCTAGATGGGAATTTTTAGCCTTCTTCATGCCTTCCCTTAACAAAATACAACAAAGACAAGGAGAAGACAGACAATTCTTTGTTTAGACATATAAAGTGTATTTCAGGTGGGGTTTTGTCCCACCTGCACATTTATAGATATGAAATAGGAGTCTTCTTAAAGGGATGCTGAAGTTGGGCAGCCTACAACCTGTCCTTCATTGCCCTGTGTATTCTCCTCGAACAGGCCTCAGTGTTTCTGAGATGAGGGTTGGTAGCTAAGGTGGATGCCCCTGGTCGAGTGGCAAAAGCCCCTCGGTGAGTGGCAAAAGCCCCTCGAGGATAGTGCTGAAGGCAGTGACGGCGGCAGCCCAGGACTGAGGCAGAGCCAGGTTGTCTGGAGCGAAGCTGGAGATTATTGTCTGCGCAACGGGTGCCACCCAAGGCCACCAGTACCATTGGCTTCTCAGTGCGGGAAGACTGGGCCTTGGAGTGCCCTGTTGGCTTCTCCGTCCTAGTTCTTCCCTTAGGGCTTTTGGCTGGAACCAGGCTCTTTTCAACATTTTCTTTCCTGGTTTTGGCCACTTTCTCAGCTATAGAGAACATGGATTCCTCATGCCGTTTGCTTTTGGTCATAGGGTTAATATGGTGTAGGAAGGATTTTATTTTATTTTTCCAGCTAGACTCTGGGAGGCTGGGCCTTTTGTGAGTAAAGGCTGGCATCACCTGTTCATGCAAAACCTGGTCTTGCAAAGTTTGGCCCTGCAAAGGCTTATCCTTGATTAGTTGGCTTGGGAAAGGCTGGCCCTGTGAAGACTGGGGCACCTCACTCTGGGCAGTTTTAGGAATTATTTCTGGTTTGAGGATGACATTTAGCTCAGTTTGACTGTCTTGCAGGGCATTCTCAGGTGCTTTCCCCCCAGGGGCTCCTGGGTGTAGGTCTGACAGCTCAGGCTGAGGGTGATGCTGGGGGCTGTGTTGACAGGGATGAGCAAGATGATGAAATCTATGGCTGTGTCTCCAGGAGCCTTGGGATATCTTGTTCGGAAGCCTGTCTGCTGGCCTCTGGTCTTCACCAGGGTGTCTTTCTTCTCTGGTTGAGGAGAGACTAAACCCTGCATCCCCTGCTCCATGGTCCCCAACTACTTTGGGTTTCCCTGGATCTTCTATCTTTTCTGCCAATGTGGGGACTTGGGCTGAGTCCTTGCTCTTGTCTGGGCTTTGGGGCTCAGGGCTCCAGGGTTCCTCCAGGCTGGGGTTGTTCACACTGGCCTCCACCTGAACACAAAGCACCTGGGCCTCTGTCATGTACCCACTGGGTTGTGGAATCTTGGAGATCCAGTGGGCAGAACCTTGGGGCACTGCTCTGGAACTAGGTTGCTTATGGTCCTGCTGCACTGGCTTCAAGTCAGTGGCCAGCTGTTCTGTAACGTTAACTGGATGTAAGTCTGGGGCACGAGTGTCTGGTGGGATGGACAGTTCCTGGACCAACATTTCTCCTTGGTTATCTAGACTCCTATGAGAGTCCCGTGTGAATTTGTCCTCTGGGACTGCTGCAGTTTGTTCCATGGACTCTCTCGCCCTTATGGGAATTCCCATTTGAATCTCTAGGATCTTTTTTCTGAGGTGGAAATTCAGTTTGGCCAAGATATGTGTCTTGAGTGACACAGGGTTAGAAGAATGTATCTGGCTCTGTTGAGACACCGCCTCCATCGTTCCTTCCACTTCCACTGCAGGCTGGAGCTCTTCCGCAGCATCTGCACAAGTCTCATTGTTGTCTTGAGAGCAGGGCCCAGGGCTTGAACGCTCTCCTTCAAGTGAGATCATCTCAGCCAGAGGCTCTGCTGGAACTTCGACAGACTCAGGCACCATCTCTGTGGTGACAGGTTTGCTAGTGACAGCAGGGGCCATGGCTCTGGAGAGAGCTACATAGTAGAGAGCAGGCAGCCCTGACAGGAAGGCCAGATACTTGTGCCGTAAAGTTGTCTCCAGTTTCTC